TCTCACACAACACTCCCCTTACTTAGTAATGCAAAAGGTCACTTGAACAAAATGTAATCTTTCAAATGTAAAGGCACTTTGGTTGAACGTAAAGGGCGTGCTGATGTAGGAGTAGTTTTAAGGCTTACAGGTTTCGGTGGCAAAGACGGTTTCGGCGTAGATGTTCTAGAGGGTGCCGTCGGTGTTGAATATAATGAAGAATCTGATTCCTGAGCAGTTAACGAAGAGTATGACGGACCTGATGTCGAGGGTGTACTTTCCCTAGGAGTAGAAGTTCCGGATGGACTCGCATTTACAATAGTCCTATCGCTAATGTCTTCGCTCACCGTGTTTCTTACATCGTTCGCGTTGCTATCTGGATTGTTCTCGTTACGAATGTTTTCGTTAGAACTATTTCTCGGTGGGTCATAGTCGAAATAATCGTAATCACTTTCGCTATTCCTATTGCGGGGTGTATCCTCACCGATCGGTCGCATTTGGTTAACATGTCTTTTCCAAACGCGGCCGTCGTCCAGACGTATTTTGAAGTGTAGCTCGCCGATCTGCTCAACAATATTTCCGAATAACCATTTTGTTTCCCCGGTGTAATCTCGGCAGCTAACTCTCTTCCCCACCGTAAATTTGAAAGGAAAAGTATTACATGTAGTATGCTTAGTACTAGACGGTCGTAACAGATCAAAACGCGTTCGTACTTTCCTAGAAAAAAGAAGTTCCGCGGGAGAATATCCCGTTGCTGCATGTGGCGTATTTCTATACTGAAAAAGTAACTCTTGTAAATCTACATATGCATTCACATTTGTAGTTCGCATGCGCTTTAACGAATTCTTTAATATTTGTACGTATCGCTCGGCCTGCCCATTCGTGGCAGGATGGTAAGGAGCGGTAAATTTGTGTGTGATACCTAGCGATTTTAAGAACTTTGCAAATTCGTTGGATGTGAACGTTCTCGCATTATCACTCACAAAGTACTGAGGCAATCCATACGTGTAAAATATTTGCCTGCAAAGGTTTATTGTAGTACGCGTAGTTATATCCTTGACCAAGTGTATTTCTGGCCATTTCGTATACGCGTCGATTAAAATAAAGAAATAATGTCCCAGAAATGGACCCGCGAAGTCTACATGAACACGTTCGAATGGGTTCTGTGCTGGTTCCCAGATGTGATTCGATACTTTAACTGGATTATTTTTGAATGAATTGCAATCAAAACAATTTTGAGCTAATTGTTCGATATCGTAGTCTATCTTGTTCCACCACACGTAACTACGTGCTAGCAGTTTCATCCTAACGATGCCGAAATGTCCGGTGTGTAATTCGTGTAGGATTTTCTTTTGTAACATGGTTGGAACCACGATTCTATGTCCTCTAAAAATGACATTATTTAATAGAGAAAATTCACTAAGTGGAACCGTATAGAATTTGTTATTCTTAAAAGAACCTGAACCTGTCTTAAGAAATTCCCGTAGCTTCGCTAATTCTTTATCCTTGCCAGTAGCTTCTACTACTTGTGTGGCTGTAACGGGTAATGTCTCGAACGTAGTATTTTGCAGCGCGTCAATTGCATCACATTGACCGGTGCTTGGTATAGGGAGTCTCGAAAGGCAATCAGCATTAGCATGCTGTTCCGATTTTCTGTAAACGATATTGTAATTGAATCCTTGTAATATTAACGCGTAATGCTGCATTCGTGATGCTGTAAATGTAGGTAAACCTTTCGTTGGTGATAATATTTGCGTAAGTGGACGATGGTCCGTTATCAACGTGAATTTAGATCCTTGTAAGAACTGGTAAAACTTTTTTATACCGAAAATGATTGCGTATGCTTCCTTATCTATTTGGGAATACGACTGTTGAGTTTTCGAAAGTGTTTGTGAGGCAAACTGTATGGCTCGTTCCGAGCCGTCCGGAAAAATGTGAGAAAGGACCGCACCAACGCCGTACGGGCTGGCGTCGGTAGCGAGTGTAATAGGTAATGTCGGATCGAAATGGGCTAAGCATCGCGGACTAACGAATGCTCGTTTAGCTTCTTGGAAGCTTTTCTCACAAGCGGCAGACCACTTGAACACAACATTTTTCTGAAGTAGTTTGTTCAAGGGTTGCAGAATCGAACTCAACTTTGGAATGAAACGATCGTAATAGTGGATCATACCTAAAAAACTGCGTAATTCGGTAATATTATTAGGTTTCCGCATTTCTTTAATTGCTTCTATTTTCTCGGGCGCTTTATTTATGCCTTTACTATTAATAATGTAACCGCAATATTGTATTTGATCCGTGCAAAATTCACTTTTTTGAAGATTAATCCGAATATTGTATTTTTGCAATCGCGTAAAAACCGTACGTAATTTTTCCATATGATCCTTCGGAGAGGATCCAGCAATGCGTATGTCGTCGAGAAATACCACGACTCCCGGAATATCCTTCAAGATATTTTCAATCGTCCTTTGCCAAATGGCCGGGGCTGATGCAATACCGTACATCAGTCGTGTTGGTCTGTATAGACCCTTGTGTGTATTGAGTGTAAGATATTCGCGGTCTTGAGGACGTACCTCTAACTGTAAATACGCTTGTGTTAGATCAATCTTTGAAAATATTGTGCCACCCGCCATTTGCGTAAGCAATTCATCAGGGGTCGGCAAGGGGTGAGCATCAATTTTCAAATTGGGATTAAGTGTGACGCTATAGTCCCCGCAAATTCGTACCGATCCATCCTTTTTGATGACTGGCACTATCGGCGTAGCCCAATCGGCACAATCTACCTTTTCGAAAATACCCGCATTCACGAGTTTATCTAATTCTTCCTCTACTTTCGCGCGCAATCGAAAAGGAACAGACCTTGGTCTCAGAAAAACTGGCGTTATATTAGCTTTTACGTTTAACCTTGCCTGAATGTTTGAAACTTTTGATATTGAGGGGTCTGCTAATTTTGGAAAATCTTTCAATAATTCCTGTATCCGCGATGATTTTGACATTGTATTAACGGATTGTATCTGACCCAGAGATTTCAGAATACTTTTGAACTCGCGTAATTGTAGCATCCACTCTCTTCCGAGAAGTGGTTCTCTAGGTTGTACCGTAAGGTACATATTTAGTTCACACACAGATTCATCGCTTCTTACTTTAACCGTAATGTAACCGTACAGTTGTATCGGTGTCTGATTTGCGGCAACTAATTTCAAATCCGTTTTAAACACCGTTTCGCCTTTAAATAATAATCTCGCGTTGTCGACAGACATTAAGGTAACGGATGCGCCACTGTCTACCTCGAATTGTACATTTCGTCCGTTTACATTTAACGTCGAGTAAATTTTTTTACGAAATTCGGTATGCTCTGCTGCTAAGATATCTAACGCTTGACTTTCGGATTTATTATACTTTAACGCTTTCAACTTGCATACCTTCTTTATGTGTCCCGATTTACCGCACGATAAACATTTGATGTTACGCTGCATCGTACAAACAGATGCGTAGTGATGCTTGCCGCACCGAAAACACGTTATGTTTTGACCGCTCGCGCGCTCGCTATTCGTATTGTTACGCGACGCGACCTTTTTTGTATGTTTAGACTTATCTTTGTACGGCGATCTCTTTGTAGTCTGGATGGCGGCAGCGATGGCTTCCCCTTGAAGTCGGCTGGTTTCCGCCTCGGACAGTTCCATCGTGGTAGCGATCTCGATTGCCCTTTCCAGCGTCAGATCCTGTGTTTCCAGTAGCCGGTTCTGTATTCGCTTGTTCCTCAGGCCGAAAACGAATGCGTTCCGTATCGTTGTACTTGCGAAGTCTCCTAACTTGCAATTAATTGAGCATTTCTGCAGGGCCGTGATGAAGCTTTGAATGTTCTCTCCTTCTTCTTGTTTCCGAGTCCAGAGCTTGAAATTTTCTGCGATTTCATTGGGCTTCGGCTCGTAGAAGTCTTGTAGTACTTTCGTGCACGTGGCGTAAGATTCCGAACCTGGCTTTTTAGGTACAAGCCTGTTCTTGAGCGTGCTGTATGCCGTTGAACCTAGGCAGTTCAATAATCCATCCACCTTCAAGTCTTCCGCAATCTTGTGCAGTCTGAAGGCACTCTCGAGGCGTTCTTGCCAATCCGACCAGGGACCTTTGTCTGGATCGAACGGCTCGAGATTTATTGTGCTAGGCGTTGTAGCAGCCATCACACGAACTACTCACTCTCGCGATTTTGTAACTGTTCTTCGCCCTTGCCCGGCGAATTTATAACCTCGTTGCCAGATGTTGGCGAATCCACGCTTCTCGTCGCCGGATGCTTGGTGGCTTTCCGATCCTAGTCGCCTATTGCTTGGCGGCTTCGTGATCCTTGTCACCAGTTGCCCGGCGAATTCACTATCCTCGTCGCCAA